GATCGGGATAAGACGGCTTTCAGTACTAGCACAGGACATTATGAGTTCCTTAGCAACGTTCCAGCGAATACTAACTGCAACATACTAACTGGGCTTCAAGGGTTGGACTGTTTCGTTTATTTAGACGACATTGTCATATATGGCAGTAATCTAGCGGAACATGACAAGCGTCTCAGGAAGGTTTTCGACGTTTTGCGCAAATACAATCTGAAGTTGCAAACGGAAAAATGTCATTTCATGCGGAGAGAGGTGGTCTATTTGGGACACAAATGTTCGAGTGAGGGAGTCCTACCTGATCCATCGAAAACAGAATGTGTAAAGAACATTCGTCCTCCGAAAACAATTAAACAATTGCAAGCATTCCTCGGTTTAGTAAATTATTACAGGAAATTCATACCCAATGCCGCGAAAATCTCCCTACCATTAAACAAGTTACTTAGAAAAGGGGAAAAATTTATTTGGTCGAACGAATGTCAAAAGGCAATGGATGATTTAAAGGAAGCCGTGACTAATCCACCCATTTTACAATATGCTGACTTTACCAAACCATTCGTTTTGACGACCGATGCTAGTGATGAAGCATTGGGAGCCGTTCTTTCGCAAGGAAAGATAGGTGAGGATCTTCCACTGTATTTTGCGAGCAGAGCACTGAGTGCAACAGAGAGAAAGTACTCCACCATCGAGAAGGAATTCCTAGCAATTGTCTGGGCAACTAGAAATTTCAGATCTTACCTGTTGGGAAGGCATTTTAAGATTTTCACGGACCACAAACCTCTCAGAGGGGTGGTAAATCAAAAAACTCAAGACACCAGGCTAGGTCGGTTTAGGCTAAAATTATTGGAATATGATTTCGAAATTTGTTATAAACCTGGGAAATCTAATTTAAACGCGGATGCATTGAGAAGACTACCAATTGAATCAAGTGAGATTCAAGTAGTAACCAGATCGAAAACCTCAACAGAAAGGGATGGGAAAAATACAGATTCTGCAAATCAAGGGAAGACCAACGCACCGTCACAATAATCTAAAGCCGATGCCGAGCTAGGGGCAACAGTTTCAAACAATACAAACAAGGAAGAGGAACGTGATCCAGGAGGGTAGGATCAGGCCCTTTATCTGACTGACACCAGAGACATAAAAGAGGTACTAACTAGATTCCATGATTCCCCAATGGGAGGCCATCAGGGAGCCACTCGCACATATTTCCGGATTCGAAAGCAATTTAAGTGGAGTGGAATGCAAAGGCAGATTAAGGATTACGTGAGGGCATGCAGTGTCAAAGAAACAAAAGCTCGAGGGAAGATAGAATGCCCATGATTATCACGGACACGCCTCAACGACCGTTTGACAAGGTTTATATGGACATAATTGGCCCATTGCCTTATTCGTCAAGGGGCAGTAGATGCATTCTGACCTTCCAAGATGACTTTAGCAAATATATGATTTGTGTCGCTCTACCGGATGCTGAAGCAGTAACGGTAGCGCGGGCCTTCTTCGAAGAAATAATTGCAAAGTTCAACATACCGCGGATACTGGTGACGGATAATGGTTCTAATTTCACCGCGGCACTTTTCAAAGAAACATGCAAGATATTAGGGGTAAAGAAACTCTGTACATCGCCGTATCATCCCCAGTCTAATGGGTCTTTAGAAAGAAGCCACAGACCACTGGCAGAGTTTTTGAGAAATTTCGTAGACTTAGATGGTGCAGACTGGGATCAATGGTTACACCACGCCATGCATGTGCACAATAATACGGTACACATGACCACAAAGCAAACACCGAGTAGGACTTTGTTTGGTTTTGATGTGGAGATTCCAGTAACGCTGAGGAAAAGGCCGTCACCTATCTACAACTTCGATGATTATTCTCAAATATTGAAATATCAAATTCAACGTTCTCATGAGTTAGTGAGGGAGAATCAGAAGAGGCGAAATTAGCGTCTAAAAAATATTATGACAGAAATAAAAAGGAAAGGAAATTTAGAATAGGAGAGAAAGTGCTCCTGAAGAACCAATCGAGGAAGAATAAATTTGCACCCATATGGGAAGGTCCCTATGTGGTAAAAGAGGTTCCCAACACGGTTAATGTAAGAATTTCCATAAAAGGGAAGACGAAAACTTTCCACAACAACTTGGTAAAGCCATTTTTTTAAAAAAAAAATAATTAAAAACTTGTAAGATGTCTGCTGAATTTTTTTTTTGATACCAAATTTAATGTTTTCATTTTTATTTCGTTTTAATGAAAATAAACATATTGGATTTAGATTTAAAGTGCCACAAATTCTACTCGTGAGCATTCAACGGTTCAACGGCCGAGGAGTGTGCGCAGTCAACTACTGTGTGTTTTTATTTATTGTTTTTATTTATGTTTAATTTCCAAGTAAGGTTTATTATTTGGTCATCCAGTTTATCTTGTGTTACCACACCATAACATGGTTTTATGGTTTTCTGATCAACGGACGGAAACACCAATAAATTTTTACTCTCTTGACAATTTCTGTAACTTTACAAAATCATCTAGATATACATTGTAACTATCATATTTGATACAAATAACACTCAACATTAGACGGCGAACTAAAATTTACATATTTACATTCAAACCGCCCATAAATAATTTTTTTTTCTTACCTACTTAACTTCATTTGTTGTTGATGCCACAAATATAACTCGTGAGCATTCAACGGTTCAACGGCAGAGGAATGTGCGCAGTCACCTACTGTGTGTTTTTATTTATTGTTTTTATTTATGTAAAATTTTCCAAGTAAGGATTATTATTTGGTCATCCAGTTTATCTCGTGTTACCACACCATAACATGGTTCTATGGTTTTCCAATCAACGTTGTTCATTCAGCCAATGGCATTGTTGGTTGTATAGACGCTAGTGCCAAGATAGCAACGATGCTGGGAGGTCCAAACCGGAATTGGAACACGAAATTTTTCTAAGTTTACTAATTTGTCAATATTAGATAAATGAAAGCTTTCTCAAGAAATAAGAAATATGATTTAGAAAGAAAATTCAATAATCTTTCATTTGGTATATACCTCATATCTGAATGTTGCGCAATAGCTGAGATATTCACAAAATAAAAAAACCAAATTTTTTAAAAAAACTGACTTTTTTTACTTAAAAAATTATTAAAAAACAACTAAGAGTTCGATGGACTTGCACGCACATGCATTTGAAAGGCAATAAATCAGGCTTTCAAATAAACTAAAAATCAGAAAAATCGTATGCGTGGAATTCGCACAAAAACATGTCAAAAATCAATGTCTTATCTCACTCCAGATAATACATTTGAAAAAAGTGAAAACGCAAAATGATCAGAAACACATCACGAAATACAATTTTAAATCGTCAATCGATTATTTTACATTTATCATACAAATATGATAAAAAATAACCTTTTTTTCTACCTTATTTTACTCTAACATATATATCATAGCGTGCAGAAGCCCGATGGCAATAAAGATATTTTTCCTTTAAAGACAAATATATCACCTTTCCAAAATAGTCAAAATCAAGAAAATCGTATGCACAGTTTTTCCATATTATTTTTTCAAAAATGGTTCATTTTTTATCAAAAATCCAATTAATTGATAAAAAACGTGAACCTCCACAGCGCCATATACGGCCCAGAAGCAAAGCAGGAGGCTTACTGCCATCTATAATTCGAAGCCAAATAAGATATGGTGTTTGTATTTGCTTAATGCATATGTTGTGAATAAATGAATTAAACAATAAAAAAAGCGACTATCTATCCGTTTAAAAAACATTAATTTTAAAAAAATATTATTACAAGAATCACAATGCACATAAAAGCCTTTAAAGATAACAAAACAAACTTTAAATTACAAAAAAAATCAGAAAAATCGCATTATTCTTCGAACAAGGCAATTCAATCAAATATGAAAATTATTATTTCTCTTAAAACAATCATTTGAGAAGAAAAGATAGATGACAAATGTTAAAAAATATATTACTAAGCAATTATTTAATAATATCAACTCAATATTTAATTCAAAGAAAAGAAAGAAAAAAATGTAATTTAAACCATTTTTATTAAAATTTTTAAATAAATTAATAATTTTTTTTTTAATTTTTCAGAATTCCGAAAAGAAAAAGAACAATCATTGTAAATATTTATACGCTTATTTATTTAAATATTAGTATAATATTTACATATACATCTTTATTAATTGCAGATTTCCAAATGCGACGCAGCCTCCAAAAACAAAACCTAGAGCTGGAAAAAAACCAATAAATTAATTAATTAATTATAAACATTATATACATATATTGTAAGTAATATTAAAAAATGCGCTTAACACTATTTTTAGAAAGCTTATCTGCAAGCACCATCTACCGTTCGTATTCGCTTTATGGAATTTATGCATTTGTTGCAAATTAATTAATTAAACAATAAAAAAAGCGACTATCTATCCTTTTAAAAAACATTAATTAAAAAAAAATATTATTACAAGAATCACAATGCACATAAAAGCCTTTAAAGATAATAAAACAAACTTTCAATTACAAAAAAAATCATAAAAATCGAATTATTCTTCGAACAAGGCAATTCAATCATATATAAAAATTATTATTTCTCTTAAAACAATCATTTGAAAAAAAAAATAAAGATGACAAATGTTAAAAATATATGACTGAACAATTATTTAATAATATCAATTTAGTATATAATTCATATCAAAAGAATTTCATCAAAAAATATTGGAATTTTTTTTTTGAGGTTATAATTTTTTGCAATCAAATATCTTACCGTGCAAAACCCCGATCGGGATAACCTATATGTCTATATAAAGACGAAGGATTTTTCTTTCAATATTTCAAAATTCATAATAATCGTATGCACAGTTTTTTTTATAATGATTTTTAAAAAATTTGCATTTGATCAATAAATAAATTGAGTCATACAGCAACTAATTAGGGTTTAACAGCCAACACCATCTAGTGTTTGTTTTCGTTTAATGTGTGATAAATTTCAGGGTTTGAAAATGCTGGACTATTTTCAAGCAATTATTTTTGTTTACGAAAATGAAATAAGCAAAATGCAAATGCAACATTCAGTTTGCGTTTATGTTTCATACTAAGTGTGTGCGAAGGTTGAAGCAATGGTAAGTATTATGAAATTAAATTAATAAAATATATTTAAAAATTTGTAATTTATACAACTAATAATATTAAAAATAATAATATTATAATAATAATATTAAAAATATAAATATTAAATTTTTAATGCTTTACTTTCAGAATCGGGATATATTAACTGGCGTATTGATTGGGCTGCTGGTTGACGGTAAAAATGTATGTAAATAATTTAAAATATATATATATTATATTATGATTTATATTAAATGCAATATTAAAATAACATTTTTTGTCTCTTTCTTCAGCAACCCCAGCGTCAACAGCAGCAACGAAACCGCCGACCAGCAGGAAACTACCAGCGGCACCAGGAAAGTGTCCGACGACGGGAAGAAAACCGCCGACGACGCGAAAAAAACCTCCGGCGGCAGGATGAAAACCGCCGCCGGCAGGAAGAAAACCGCCGGCGGCAGGAGGAAAATAGCCGTCGGCAGGAAGAAAATCGCCGTCGGCTGGAGGAAAACCGTCGTCGGGAGAAAGAAAACAAAGAAAAAAATGTAATTTAAACAATTTTTATTAAAATTTTCAAATAAATTAATAATTTTTTTTTAATTTTTCAGAATTCCGAAAAGAAAAAGAACAATCATTGTAAGTATTTATACGCTTATTTATTTAAACATTAGTATGATATTTACATATATATTTTTATTAATTGCAGATTTCCAAATGCGACGCATCCAAAAACAAAACCTAGAGCTGGAAAAAAAAAACCAATAAATTAATTAATTAAAAAAAAATTCATTTTCATATATCATATATTTCATATATCATGTTTATTTTTTAATACATTTTTAATAAAAAAATTTTATTTAAACTTATTTTCATAATTTTATTAAATGATATATTATATACATATATTCCAAGTAATATTAAAAAATGCGCTTAACACTATTTTTAATTTCTTTTACATTTTGGAGAAATATTTTTCCCCTTGCGCCAGACCGATGCTTAATGCAAATTTTGTATGAAATTCTATACACGCGCGCATGCCTAAGTACATAGGCAAACTTTTTTACCTGCATCTTCTGCCTTGTGCGCAAATGAGGGTTGTGCAAGTGACTAATTATTATAAAATAATAGGTTATAAATGCACCCCGACCTAAAAGATCTATTGTGCGCTGCAAATGGTTTAACTTTGGCTACAATTTTCTAAACAATATTTAATTAATATTAAGTATAATATACATACATTTATTATTATATTAAAATATATTGAACTAAATAATTTAATCAAATTAAATTTAATTATTACTAAAAGGTATAAATTTTAATTAGCTTACTACTCTGATATATAATAATTATATTACAAAAACTATCATCTAATACATATATACATAAATTTACGTTAAAAGTTCATTAAAATAAACAATGGTAAAAAAAGAGTACATAAAAAAGAGTAGACGTATTTTTTCCCCACTCGTCTGTCTGTCGCCATTTGCTAATAATGCACTTGGTGACATGCAATGACATGTTAATTTGTGTTAACAAGTCGAACAATCATGTTGCACAATTTTTCGCGCGCGGTTCAAACCGCTTTAATTAATAAAATAATAAAAGTGGAAGAATTATTAAATATAAACAATACGGAAAGTTTTAAAAGTGTAATCAAAATTATAAATGAACAACAAAATACAAGATTTGGTGTTAAATGCAATTTGAAAACGAAAACTAAAATCATGCGAATCGCCAAAGAAGTAAGTTTTTAATTGTCTATATTAATATCCCACAAGATAATGAATTACTTTATGGTAATATAGTACAGTGCTTCTGTGTATTATTTTAATTCTTGTTTTTGAATAATTTTACCCATTATGTATTAGATATACATATTCAGTTGTTGTGCAAATTAACAGGGTTTGAAATTGCTTGACTATTTTCAAGCAATTTCTTCTGTTTACGAAAATGAAGTAAGCAAAATGCAAATGCAACAACAAAACCTA